AGCAATGGGCTGGAGTGTGTCAGAGATGATGAGGCTGGCACAAGATAGGACAGGGTTCAGATCTGTTGTTCATAGGGTCACTATCAATCATGTGTGACTTGATGGCACGTAACAGTCACAACAACTATATTAATTAACTTAGCTAAGTGAACTGGGGGAGGGACAAGGGAGGAGGAAGGTAGAACATTTGCAACAATGAATGAATGAAATCCAATCTTTCAGTAATATTTTTAAAATGACAACAAAAAATTGTATTATAAAAGGAAAAATAATAATAAAATATAAGACCTTTATTGTGAAAATGGGATGGTAATGAGGGTGGTGAGGAGGGATTGAGAGTGCAGAAGAATAATGTACAGTCAATAAACATTGTGAAGAATAAAGACAAGGCAGGATCAACCTGGGTGCATTGTTGGAAAACCAATATGTCTATTGCAATGTGTTAGTATTGCAATTAGTAAATAGAAACAGGGTATGTAACACTGCTCAGAAGGATAAAAGGAAAGGAAGATGAAAGCCATGGGAAGAAAAAGAGAAAGCCAGAGAAAGGGGAAGAAAGAACACTAATTAATTATATAAAGCACAATGTATGTGAATGAATGTACAAAGTATGATATATATGGATAAAAAAAGGAGAGCATAGACTAATTTAAAAATGTCAGCAATACCTTTCACTTACTGTTTTTAATCCTAGGTATAGTTTTCCAGCAGTGACAACAATCTGCTTTATGCATGTGACACAACCCTGCTTGCAGAAACTGAGGAGGACCTGAAGCAGGTCAAGGACTACAGTCTTCAATACGGGTTGAAGCTCAAGATTCAATTGGGCTGATGGAAGCATCATATTAGATGGTAAAGAGATTGAGATAGTAAACAGTGTTAGTTTGGTTGGCTCCACAATTAACATTCTTGACAGAAGCAGCCAGGAAATTAAAAGAAGTATTGTGATGCGAAAGTTTGCTGTCAGAGACCTCTCCAAAGAGCTAAAGAGTAATGATGTTAGTCTGGAGTCTAAAGTGCACCTGATATAGGCCATGGTCTTTGAAATCACTTAGAGCTGGATGATGACTAGGGATAATAGAAGGAGAATTGATGCCTTTGAGCTGTGGTGTTGGAGAAGAGTATTGACTATACCATGGACTGCTAAGAAAACAAACAGGTTCATTCTGGAGAGGGTAAGACAAGGCTACTCCTTGGAGAAGGGGATTCTGAAGCTTCATCTGACATAGTTTGGACATGTTACAAGGAGGGACCAGTCCTTGGAGAGGGACATCATGTTTGGGATGGTGGAGGAACAGCGCAGGAAAGGAAGACCCTCAATGAGATGGATTGATTTCAGTAATGGGCATAAAGGAAGTAGGTGTGTCAGAGACAGTGAATTTGGCACAGGATAGAGCAGAATTTACATAAGGTCGTTATGAGTCACAGGTGACTAGATGGCACATAAAAACAACAACAACAACAACATGATTATAAATGTAAATATGATTATGTTTTTTATATTTTAGTTATTATATGGTTGAATGGCAATTGCGAGTTTCACAAAAGTAGGTATCTTGTTGATTTTATTTACTGCTGAGGCTTAACATTCACATTTGTTCCTAAACATTTGTGTTAATAAATATTTGGTAAATAGATTTTTAGAATAGGGACAATGCACCACTATATATAATATTCATAGAACCTGATATAGTGTTTAGCAGGTGTGGCGTCCACTTCCTAAATAACACGGGAGAAACTCTATGAACATTTATAAATATTGATAGTTGTAGAGGGGTTTCCAGTCTTTTGTACTTTCGTTCTGTTTCAGGTCACTATGAGTCGTGCTTGACTCGAAGATAATCATCAACAACATATATAAGTAATTCCATAGTATAATCATTAAATAAGTGAATAAATTCATTACCATTTATTTAGAAATATTTAATAGAGATATCTATGAAGTAAAGCAGTGTACGTGCACACATGTTGCATACATACATACATACATACGTACACACACAGCTTTTGGGGCCTAGTGGAAAAAGAGTTACTACGTTAACCCAAAAGTCAGTAGTTACAATCCACCAGATGCTCTGAGAGAGAAAGATGGACAATCTACTCTCATGTGATTCCCAGCCTTTGAAAACCTTCTGGATGATCGGCTATGAGCAAGTTCCAACTCGACAGTATTGAATCAGTGATGTTGTTGTTGTTATGGACCCTTGAGTCCACTTGCCACTCATAGCGACGCTATGAACAATAATTTGGAACCCTGTCCTATCCTAAGCCAATCTCACTGTTTCCAACACACTACACCCACTACTTTAGTTACTGTGTCAATCCATCTCCTCCGGGATCTTCCTTTCTTGCGCTGACCCTACTCGTCCATCCTGGTCACATGCCCAAAATATGCCAGACAGAGCTTAAGAATCCTTGTCTCCAAGGGGAAAAATGGTTTCACACACTCCAGGACAGACCTGTTTGTTCTCTTGGCAGTCCATGGAGTGTTCAATACTCCTCTCTAGCACCACCATTCAAGGGCATAGATTCTTCTGTCATCCTTAGTCATTGTCTAGCTCTCTGCTGTGTAGCAAGTAATTGCAAGTGAGTGATAACATATATATATATTCTCTCTCTCTCCCCACCCCCTCCTCTCTTATACTTTCTCAATCAGACTAGGGCACCAGATCTCTCTCTTTCTTTCTCTCTCTCAAAAAGGATGGATGATCTGGACAATCTCCTCCCATGTGATTAACTGCCTGATACATACATATACTTAGGCTGTTAGGCTGGATTCTATAGTGAAAGAAAATCAACAAAATGAAATTACACATACATACCCCCTCATCTCGTCTTATCTTTCCCACCTTTGTCCCACAATTCTAATAACAGATTCCGAACACCTGAGAAGTGTTGCCTTTGAATTAACAGTGCGACTCCCTAGGGGCTAAGCCACCAGAACATTCTCCAGCTCTCTCTCTTCCTCCCTCCCTTCTATCACCGCTGGCTTCTCTTGTGAACATAGCCTTAAGGCATTTTTCTCAAACTCACTTGAGAAATGTAGTAGATGAAAAGATATCTAACTATTGGAATATTGGAAGAAATGACAACTCAACATGTCTAAGACTGAACCCATATTCTTTCCTCAAAACCAGATTATCTTCTAAAGTTCCTTCTCTCAGTCATAGCTTAGGCTGGAAGTTCCTTTTCTTTCTTGTATCCCTATTTTTTTTAATTTCTTTTTCTGATGTGACTCTATTTATTTAATTTCAATGAACATCTACAGAGATTTTGGAATTCCATTCATTCACTGTCGTATCCCTATTTTAAGAGAAACATCAAGTAAAGTTGATTTTTAATCTGCCACTTTTCTCCTTTTCCTTCATTCCTATGTTAATTTACATTACTCGTCACCTAAACTACTACAGTGACTTATTAACTGGTCCATGATCATCCTCTCTGGCTCTCTCACCAAACTCTTGTTACTGTTAGAGGCTATCAAGTTGAGTACCACTCATAATGACCCTTTGAACAACAGACCTGAACCCTATTCTATTCTATAGCATCCTTATTGTCTCTGACACACGCGAACCCATTGCTGCAATCTTCCTCTCCTTGGCTGACCCTCCACTTTTTCAAACATTACCTCCCTTTTCAAGGAATGGTCTCTTCTAGCAACATCTCCAAAGTATAAGAGATGAAGCTTTAACATGTGATCATCAAGAGTTGAGGTCAACCAGACAGCCATTTATAATTTCAGACACTAACTTAGTAACACGGAGCGCTGATGGCCTACAGAGTAGAGTTGCACTGCCAATCTAAAGGTGGGTGATTCAAAATCCACCAGCTGCTCTGTGGGAAAAAGATGACCTGTCTTCTCTCATGAGATTTACAGCTTCTGAAAACCAGCAGGAAAGTCAGCTATGAGTTGGTTCTGATTCAACAACAATGAAGGAAACAGAGAACTTAGACTCTTGGAACTCAAGGATTGCCTGAAATCTCCAGTTTCATACGTGAATAGATATTTGGGAGGAGTAGTTTTTGTGTAACACCTAACTAGAATCAGAAAGGCTATGTGCTGCTTTGCTTCAGACAAATCTGCTCCTTGATTTCTAAAAAAAAAAATTACAAAACTTAGCATTATTCATTTGTATTTAAAAAAAACTTCACAAACCCTTTTTGGATGGTTTCTGGTTATATGTTGGGCAAGTAAGGCATAGCTGTATGCAGAATTCCTAAAACATGAAAGCAGAAATCATTATTCGATTGAACTCATTACTTTCTGACTTTTGAGTTGTCTCAAGTGTTAAGATTTTGGTAATGTATTTTTATTTTCTTCTTTCAAAACATGTTGCAGTTGTTGTGAGCTGTTGAGTGATTCCATTTACAACAGCGTGAGATTCTGCCTGATACTGCACCTAGATTTATCTGGTTTTCAGTCTTCAATTGCTTTATTGATTAGATTTCCACCACAGATATTTCCAAATCCTGCTCCACTACCACTGTTTTTACTAATTTAAAAGTCTGCATATGCAATTATTCAAATACTTGAACATGAGAAGTATATACACATTAGTGTAATTGTTCATTAAAGCACACTTTAGTTTGTGAATACTACTTTTGTTTTGGAATGTAAATGTCTTTTGCCACCAGGATGACTGGATCACTTATTTCTTTCTGCATTTAAACACACTACACACTCAACTTTTAACTTTTCCAACGTGAAGTAAAAATTTCTCACCACAATAAGAAAATTAAGGAGACAACTTTTGAAAATATAGTTAAAAATTCAATCCTTTTGATTAGTAACCAGACTTAGTAGCAGAGAAACTTCAAAGTGTCCTCTAAACATTGAATTTTCATCAGCAATGCCACAAGCCTTAGTTCTCATCTTTCATGCTTACCCACGCAATAACTTCAAAAGGATAAAAAGAATGAATGGTAATCTCTCAAAGCAACCTTGTGCTCAGACCAATAATCTTGTATTTAGCTATCATACATTCACAACTAGATAATTACCTCATTAAATTATATTTTAATAAATACCAAAATTAACATTTTGTTACAAAAAGAAAGCAGAGACTCAAACTATTCAGAAATGAAATCCAGAGCCCCAGGGATTTCTAGGAGAAAATGAGAAAGAATTAAATAGTGTCAAATACAGACATCTTCAAAGAGAAGTAGATCATTTAAACTTGCCTTTTACTTACTGAAATATGTTCTGCATATTTTATTTATTTCGTGATATTGGTTGTTACAATCCGGCCAGTGAATGTTCAAAGAACATAAAATCCTACAAATAAATAAATGGTTTATATGAGTGCATTAACAAAAAGGCAACAATTAAGATCAAAAGTCTGACATAAGCTTTGATAAGGTAAAGAAATTATATTTCCCAGTCGTGTTTCAGCAATGTGTAAGTTATCAGCAGGAGAAAAATTGAAAGGATTTAATCTTCACAACAATTATATGTCTAATTTCCAGAGGACAAGTAATTTGGAATAGTTATCTGAATTAGTACGGAAGCATCAGTTAAAATTTTGATGACTAAGAGTTTGAAGAATTACATTGTAGGAAGTTATTATAGGCAACACTAGGTTCAGGATCACACATAATTCTTAGTAATATTTATTACTAAACTTAATCACAGAATAATATATGATATAGTTGTAAATTGCTTAAATGTAATTTTCCTTGTTGTTATTAGCTGCTGTCAAATTAAGTACAACTCATAGTTGCACTATGAACAACTGACCTGAATCTTTCTTCATCATCTCTGACACACTTGAGCCCATTGCTTCAGTCACTGTGTCAGTCCAGTTTGTTGGTGGCTTGCTTTCCTTCACTGACCCTCCATCTTTCTAAGTAAGATGCCCCTTTCTGAAGAACAGCCTCCCTTAGCTACATGACCAAAGTACGAGAGAAGAAACTTCATTAACTTTACCTCCAAGGAGCACTTCAGCTGCACTTTCTCCAAGACCTATCTGTTCGTTCCTTTTACAGTCCACGGGATATTCAGTACTCTTCTCCAGCACCACAGCCCAAAGGCATCAATTCTTTGTCCATTCTCTGTATGCATTATCCAGCTTTCTGATGTGTAGCAGATGATTGAGAAGACTGTCACCTGAAACTGGCACACCTTAGTCTTCAAATGAACATAATCGTTCTTAAGTATTTTGGAGAGGTCCTTGACAGTGGATTTGCCCAGTGTAATACATCTCCTGATTTCCTGACTGCTGGAACCAAAAGTGATGATTGTTGATCCAAAGCAAGATGAAATAATTGATGACTTAAATCTTTTCTCCATCTATCACGGTATTGACTATTGAGCCTGTTTGTGAAGACCTTTGTTGTCTTAATATTGAGATGTAGTCCATCCAACAGCTTCAGTTCTTGATCTTCTGTACCAAGTGTTTCATGTCCTCCTTACTTTCAGTAAGCAATGTTGTGACATCTGTATCACACAGGTTGTTGACAAGTCTTTTTGCAATCCTGATGCCACATTCCTCTTCACAGAGTCCATTTTCACAAATTATTTGTTCAGCATACACATTAAATAAGTATGGAAAGCAGATGTATATCTGACATAAAATTTTACTAATTTTAAATGCAGAGTTTCTTTGCTTTGTTCTGATAACAGCTCTCGATATATATATAAATTTCTCATGAGTACAATTAAATATCCTGGTTCCTCAATTTCCTCCTTTTTGGCTTTAGTTTTTGGTGCATGTATTTGAATAACAGTTGTATTAACAGACTATCCTATCACTCAAAACACTGCACTTCATGATAGATCTTAAAAATGTCTTTTTAACTATAAATGTAACATCATTCTTGTTCAGTTTACAACAAAAATCATCTTTCTACATTGAATTATAACATTATTAGTAACTGAACCAAAACTTTTTTCCATTTTTTCTTCTAATTACTACTTTATTACAAAACTGTTGTTGATGTAAGTTCAGAAACACTGCTTACCAGAATATTTTTGATAAAGCACAATAAAATTTGACAAAAGCAGTTCAATGAAAAAAAAGCATATACTTAAAGTATGTAAAGATGAAACTATACTATTTGAATTATCTATCATTATAATTGAGTAATAAGAATAATAGCTATAACTGGAGTACATTAAAAGGTTGAAAAAAGTAAATTAGCATAACACTTTAACTATGTAGGTATATTAGCTCCTGTAACCTGTGCTTATCAAAAGTGGCTTTGTTGTTATAATAAATAGGGATATTTGTATGAAATATCTGCAGAAGCATTACACATATATTTTATAGACAATCATTTTGACATCAATCTATTCTGACTCATCCTTTGTACACATTCTTTGGTGATTCTGAAAATATTCTTCGGAATAATTTGCTTAGCATACAGATTGAACAAATAGTGAGAAAATATGCAGCCCTGACATACTGATAGAACTGAAAAACAAATTCAAACCTTGAGTTGCAATACTGAGAGATGCTATTGACCAAATCTTGAGTGATCCAGGAAGCGTCAAAAAAGATGGACAGAATACCCAGAGTAACTCTACCAAATATAACTAGTTGACACTGAAAATTTTTAGGAAGTACCACATGAGCCTTCTGTTCGTCTCTTTAATATCTTGAATTCTTCCCTCTGCTTTGGCTTCTCAGTGCTCTAGTGCAATATCCAGAGTCTCTTCTGACATCCATCTTGGTCTTTTCTTCCTCCTCTGTTTTTGTAATGACAGCCTGCATTGTTCCTGGATGTTATTCTTGATACCCTTCCACAGTTCATCTGGTTTCTGCTATTTAGTGTTTAAGGCCTCAAACTCGTTCCTGAGATGGTTTTGAAATTCAAGTGGGATAGACTCATGGTCAAATCGGTTTCTGTAGATTTGATTTCATTTTTCTTCAACTTCAGTTTGAACTTGCATATGAGTAGTTGGTTCCACAATTACCACCTGGCATACTTTTCACAGATGATATTGAGCTTCTCCAGCGTTTCTTTGCACAGATGTAATCAATCTGATTCTTATGCATACCATCAGGTGAAATCCATGTGTACAACCATATGAACAAGAGCCAGTGGAAATGAAGGAAGAAGTTCAAGCTGCTCTGAAAGTACAGACAAAAAGTAAGACCCCATAATTGATAGAAAGCCAATTGCATGCTTTTCCTAACAGGTGCAGCCCAGAATGAGCTCACCAGTCGATGACAGGAAACTTGAATGAAAGCTACTTGGCCAACTGGCTGAGAGAGTTCCATATCTGTTCTCATTCTCAAGAAAAGTAAACCAACAGAGTGTGGAAATTAGAAAAATGTCATTAACATCACATGCAAGTAACATATTGCTATTGCTCATTATCATCTAAAAATGATTAGAACAGTACATTGACAAAGAAATTCCAGAAGTTCAAGCAGGGTTTAGACAAGGCTGAGGCACCAGGGACATCATCTCTGATGTCAGATGAATTCTGGCTAAGGGTACAGAATACCAGAAGAATATCTATCTGTGTTTTCTTGACTACACAAAGGCATTTAACTATGTGGATCATAACAAATTGTGGCTAATATTAGGAATGGAAATCTCAGAACTCATAATTATATTCAGACAAAACCTGTTCCAAGAAAATATTGTCAGAATAGAGCAAGGGAATATCACATGGTTTAAAATTAAGAAAGGTGTGAATCAGGACTGTATCCTTTCTTCATGCCTGTTCAATCTGTACACTGATCAAATAATTTAAGAAGCTGAACTGTATGAATAAGAATGTAGCATCAGGATCAAAGGAAAACCCATCAACAACCTCCATTATGCACATGATACAACGTAGCTTTCTGAAAGTGAGTAGGATTTGATGTTTGCTGCAGAAGATCAAAGACTATAGCTTTCAATAAAGATTGCATCCCCAAAACCCTCATCCCTGGACCTAAAGCAACATTATTATAGATGATGAAAAGATGACAATTGTCAATGATTTAATTTTATTTGGATTCACAATCAACACTGTTGGAACCGTAGTCAGGAGATCAGGAGACGTATTGCATTGGGGAATTCCACTGTCAAGGGCCCTTGGAAATCATTGAGGACCAATGGTGTCAGTTTGAAGACTAAGATGTTCCTGATTCAGGCCATATTCTTTTCCATCACTTACTATGCTTCTGAGAGCTTATTGTTGTTGGTTGCCATCAGATTGAGCATGACTCATGGTGACCCCATGAACAAAAGGCCTGAAACCCTTCTGCAACCGTCACCATTTATCAAAGTTCACAGAGTTTCCAGAGGCATGCTGTTTAGGAAGTGGATGCCACTCCTAGACAGCGAATAATGATAGCAGAAGAAGAATTGATATCTTGCAGTTGCGGTGTTGTAGAAGAGTGCCAAAGATCCCATGGGCTGCCAAAAGAACAGATGTCTTGGAAGACATGCCTCACATACTTTGGGCATGTTTCTAGGAGAGGCTATTCTTTGGAAAGGAACATCACTCTTGGAAGGTGGAGGGTCAGCGAAAGAGAGGACAATTTTTTTTTTGTTAGAAGATGACTCTTAATAAGATGGATTGATTCAATTACTTGAATCAATGAGTAACTCAACTGTATCAGAGATGAGGAAGATGTCACAGGCTAAGACAGTTTACATCTACTGATCACAAGGTCATACCCGATAGTACCTAACAACATAACACATGAAGCCATCATCAGTCAGAATTCATTGTTCAAAACACAAGTTTGACTCTCTAGGAGTGCCATCAACAGAAAGAGGTCTGAATGTTGATTTCTGATGGATATTTAAATCCAAGTAACTTTCTCTGCATAGAACTTATTCGTTAGAGTAAAAATCTGTGTGAAATGTACTTTGCCTCTATATTAAAAGAGAAGTAGAAAAAGATCTCATTATTGTTTTCACAGAGCGCACTTACCAAGAGGAAGCAAGCACCAATCATGGCTGCTTTCACGGTGACATCTAAATCTGCAGGAACGTGAATCCCAAAGTTGTCAGCATTTGTGAAGACATTATTGACAAATCCTGACCAGTACTTTGAAATCTTTCCAACTGTAAGTTTTTCATTGATCGTTTTCACCTTTGAAAAGAAGAGAACAGTTGGTGAAACTGAAAGAGAGAACAGGATGATTTCACATTTCTTTATACATTTCTACCATGAGAGAAAAGCCATTTTATGATAAGATTCTAAATGAAAATTTGGTTATTCACACATTGATGCAAGCATAGATTTCTAGAATTTAACTATTCATCTTAATTTCATGCAACTTTGCTTTTCTAGCATTTCTGTAATCGTTTCTCTCTCTCTCTCTCTCTCTTTTCATAAGCAGTTAGAGAATTTAACAGCTATACATAATTAGAAGCAGATCACCACAAGGTGGCAGCAGGTACGTAATCTCAATTATATGTTCTAAACGTGGCGCTAAAGCCTTGACTAAAGTCCAGTTTTAAATGAAAATTCTCTGTTTAGAAAATGAATTATCTTATCTAAACTTTATTTATGTTCTCTGTTTTATCTATATTATATGCTTAAGAAGCGAAGGAAAAAGGAAAGAAAGAAAAATATGCTTGAGAAATATTTTAGGTAGGAATGACATTAATTTCTAGGTATAGTTAGTAAACTTTTAAATCTTTATTTGTAAGATTTTAAAAAATATTTTTGTTGCTCTAATGTAGCCCAGAGTCAGAACTGACCTATAGCTGATACTCCTGTGGGTTTTCAGAGGCAGTTAATCTCCTTCGAGCACCTGGTGGCCTTGAACTGCGTGCCTCCGGGACTGCAGTGTGGCTTCTTGCCACTAGGCCACCGGAGCTCCCTTTAAAAATTATTAACACATTTAAATATACTCAGCTTTTCCTTCATCTCATCTTTGTATTCCTCAGACATTATTTAGATTTTCCTTTCAAAATAGTGTCAACTCCTATATTTGAGTAAGCAGAATGAGGCTAATATGTCAGATACAAAAATACCAATTGAACCAAATATACCAACAGAATATCAAATCTATTCTCAGCTATAACTTAAACTCACAGATGTAGAGTCAGAACCTATCCACAGCTGACACTACGCTGGGTTTCCAAGGTTGTGCCTCTGGTAGAAGGAGATGTCTCGTCTGCGTCTTGCAGAATCACTGGTGGACTCGAGTCTCCGGAGAAACACAGTCTCTGGATTATCAGTGCAACTCTCTATGGACTTGTGCTATAAAAGTAGTCTCCACATCAGCATTAAAGCTATGTCTTTTTTTCCTATTTCTTGATGCTAAAAGTGATTCACTATAAACTTTCATTTTCTGTAAAGTAATGGTATAAGATGGAAAATAGAGAAAAATATTCAGGGCTTTTACGTATCACGAACAACAAACCCCTATGTCTAAGTTATCCTCAATTGTAAGACATATTGTTATTGTTTTTGTTGTTGTTATGTGCCATCGAGTCACTTGCAACTCATAGCAACGCTATGTACAACAGCTCTGAACTCTGCTCTATCCTGAGCCAACCTTATTGTCTCTGGCATACCCACCCCCATTACCCCAGACACTGAGTCAATCCATCTCATCCAGAGTCTTCTTCTCTTGCACTGTCCCTCTACCCTCTCAATGAACGGATAACTTCTTGCAACATGCCCTATGTATATCAGAAGAAGCTTCAAAATTCTTGCCTACAAGGAGCAGCCTGGTTTCACCCTCTCTAGGCTGAACCTGTTTGTTCTCCTAGCAGCACATGGTATGTTCAATACTCTTGTCCAGAACCGTAGCTCAAAGGTTTCAGTTGTCCTTATATCATCTCTAGTCATTGTCCAGTTTTCTAATGCACATCAAGTAATTGCAAAAGCTATGGCCTGGATCAGACACACCTTATTCTCCAGACTGACATCATTGCTCCTCAGTACTCTGGAGAGGTCCTTGACAGAAGACTTGCCCAATGCAATTTGTCTTTTAATTTCTTGACTGCTGGTCCAAGAGTGTTGATTGTGTAGCCAAGCAAACTGAAGCTGTTAACAATCTCAGTCTCTTCACTGTCTATCAAGATGCTGCCAATTAGCCCAGCAAAGAAATGGTATCAGATGGAATATAGAGAAAAAATATTCAGGGCTTTTGTGTATCATGAACACCAAACCACTCTTTCTCAGTTATCCTCAGTTGTAAAGCATATTTTCGTACTAATAAGAAAATATTTCCAAACCATTTTGGAACAGGTGTACTTAGGGTATCTCACTTTGCAAAGCCTAGTGGTAAGGTGCTCAACTGCCAACCCCAACAAATATGATTTGGATCCACCAACTGCTTCTATGGAATAACTATGGGAAATCTCTTTTCTTGTGATTTACGGCCTCGTCGTAAAACCTACTGGAGGGTCAGCTATGAGTAAATCTGACTTAACGTCACATAACAACAAACAATAAACAATCTTTTGAAGAGAGTGCTTTCCCATCCCACAGATAGAACGTCCCTAGGGCAGATATAAATGAAAAAAAAATATAAAGAACAGATGATTGTCTCTACTTAAGATACATTTTGTAGGTAAAACTGTTAAAATGATCCATGTTGTAATCTGTTAACTACCTGCTATCTTTAACATTAAAATTATACATTTGTTTAAAATAGATAGGACAAGGCATGAATTTAGCCAATCTTATCAACATTTTCTTTAAGTGTTGGAATTCTAATGTAGTAATTGGAATTCTGAAGTGAAATATGTCACCTAAAAAAGGTAAAACTATTTGCACATATAAATTCTGTAGTTTAAAACGTGAACCCATTTAAAGGAGTAATTTTGCTTATAAAGCACATGATGCTAAGCATTCTTCCCTGTGCCCTTCCCCGTCCCCACCCCACATAGGGAAAGCACGCATGATGTTCCTACTAGCACACATTTTGTAGTCAAGTTTTCGGCCTTTGGGGAAATTGCAGGGGCCAACTGTTAACTCACCTGAGGTACAGTGGGTAAGTCTGACCCTGGGAAAATCACCTTCATGATCACAATATTTCCTCTACCAGCTAAGCATTAACTAAATATTCTTTGGGAAAGTTGTTATTAGATAACCATCAATATATTGAATAAAATTACCTTGACTAGTACTTGGACTTGTCTAAAGCAAAACCCACTGCCATTGTAAATTTCTACTGTATGGTTTTAAAGACTTTTTGTTTTTAGGGTGATAAGCTACATTAAATTTTATTTTAGGCTGTCTCCAAACATGGCTGTTATAGACCAATAAGAAAGCAATTTTTAAAAGTTCACAAAAAGCAATGAACACAGGCAAACATAAATATCTCACAACCAGGGCCAGAGAATAATTATGATTTTAAAACCTGCCAAAAAATAAAAAACAAACAAAACAAACAAAACAAAAACCTGCTGAAATACCCACAAAAATCACCATTCCTAGATATTGTATTCTCAGGGCAAATTAAACTCTCACCTAAATGGAGGAATCTAGAAATATATATTTCCACTGGTGGCTCCTTCCTGTTCTAATCCCTGAGAGTCTGAAACTCTTTCCATACTGCAGGAATCTAGAAATATATATTTCCACTGGTGGCTCCTTCCTGTTCTAATCCCTGAGAGTCTGAAACTCTTTCCATACTGCACGGATCTAAATTATATAACTTTAAAGGACCATTTGAAAAAAAGTTCAGTTCTTTGAGGGATAGCACCATCCATTAATATCAATGCTGCATTCTTACAACATGCTCAGTTTTTAATTTTCCTTTTTATGAATACTTAAAATATTTATCTTTAAAACATGGGAAATATGTCTCTTTCTTTTCCTATGAAGAGAATATCACAAAAACCTCTGATGGAATATCTTTGGCTGATATTTGTAAAGTTTATATTATTACCGTTATATTTTGTGTCAAACTACTAACTCACCAATTCTCTCCTACCATTGTTGTTGTTGTCAGTTAAGTGCTGTTGAGTCGCAGGTGACTCATAGTAACCCTATGAAGGAGAGTCCTCAACGCTTGGGTGTCTCTCATCCTCTCTCCAGGTTCATAGGTTTCAGGAGGCAAGCTATTATGGAAGTGGATGCCACTCCTCCTTTCAAACTTGTTTTAATTGGGGAGCTGTACCCCACTCTGTCTGCATTGAGTAACCAACCATTAACGCACTTGACACATCAGTGTCACAGTGTTCAGCCTCACAGCAACCACAAGTGACCGCTGTAGGGCAAGTGGACACACCAGGGCTATACGACCTAGAGGAATGTCTGAACAGAAATAATGAAAGACAGGCCCGAGGGCCGTGGATTAAAAGTCACCCACCTTTGGCTTGGTAGCATCGCTTTCTGTCCACTGGGCCAGGGGATCTCTCTCTATCTTGATGTTTTTGTTGTTAAGTGCCGTCGAGTCGCAGGCAACTCGTAGTGACCCCATGAAGGAGAGTCCTCAAAGCTTGTGTGTCTCTCATCCTCTCTTCAGGTTCATAGGGTTACCATTATTATTATTTTTTTTTAAATTATTAGGTATATATTTTATAAGATTGAAAGAATGATTCTAGGCTCTCCGTTACCACCACTTACTGACACAGAATTAATATCTGCTTTCTTTCCAACACTGTAATTGTAAGAGGCGGAGCCTGTCCATCTATTTTTCTCATACTGAGCAGCCAGGAGATTTGAACAGCTAAAGATGCATAGCCTCTGGGCTAGCCTCCTGACAACGTGTCTAAAAGTACATGAGACGAAATTTCACCTTCATCCTTCTGTCTTAAAAGCACCTGGTTGCATTTCCTCAAAGGCAGACTTGTTTATTCTTTTGATTAATACATATATCTTCAAGACTCTTCATCGACAGCACAATTCAAAAGTGTGAATTCTTCTCGAGTCTTGTTCAGTTGTCAATTACATGTGCACATGAAACAATGTAAAATTCTATGGTTTGGGTCAGGTACATGCCAGTCTTTATTTATTTATTTTTTTAATATTTATTCTTTTTTGTGCCACTTCTTCTCTAGCAGAGCAGCTAGTGGATTCAAGCCATGAGCCTTTGGGATTACATCACAGCTTCTTGCCACTAGGCCACCACAGCTCCATTCATATTTTAGTCTTTAAACCAGTATATTTGCTTTTCAGCACTTTGAAGGAGGCTTTTAAAAAACTGCTTTGTTTAAAATAATTCATATTCATTTTATTCTATGTAATTAATTTCTATTGATCTAGGTCTAATACCCCGTTCTCTTTATTTTTTGTTTTTATTTTAAATTTATTTATTAATGTTAATAAAAATTTACAGAGACTTAGGATTTCCGGCCATTTACAGAGACTTGGGATTTCCAGCCATTCATTGTTGCACTTTTCTCCCTGTCCACCCCCTCCCCGCCAAATCACTCTTTTCCTTGAAAAGAAAAAGAAAAACTCTTTCATTGTTTTGCAGTCCCTCCCCGCAAGTCCACTCCACTATGCAGCCTTCATTTTGGACTTCTGTAATGACAAGAATACCCTTCATATATCCCTTTTAAACAGATCTCTCCCTCATCAGTATTATGCAAAGTGGATGATCCCGGAAGACATTATGCTAAGTGAAATATCTCAGTCACTAAAGGACAAACATTGCATAGGGCCACTGTTGAAAAACAGGACTGACATTAGGGTTGAGGGAAGACAGAGAAGGAGGGGAAGAATTACATATATAGCATTGAAACAGATGAAGACTTTATTTTTTGAGTCAATATGATTAGTATTATGTGTTCTTTATTACTGTCATGTATAATATGTTTTTTAAAAAATCTTATTTCACCAGAATATTCTTTTTCTAAATGTATTTAAGGTAGAATTTATAAACATTCATAATGGTGCAGTGGTTAAGTACTTAACTGTTAGCGGAAAAGATGGAAGTTTAGCACCTCCAACCATTTATGCAGAAGAAAAGATATTTGTGTCTCTAGAGAGCTGTATCTTTGGAAACACGTTGGGGAAGCTCTAGTCTGTCCTAAAAGGGAACTTGAAGTGAAATTAGTTCAAAAGCAAGGAGGCAGCTTGGATGGTATAATTCACAGGAAGCTGTGCTGCAAACCCAAACACATTGCCTCTCTGGAGGTTTGAATCCATCAGTGGTTCCCTGAAAGAAGGATCAGCCATCTCTTCCCAGTATTTATAACCTTGGAAATCCAATGGAGGATCAACTATGAATAGTTCTTCTGTTTCTTCTATGCTGCACCAGTTCCATCATGCATCTTCAAGGATATGAACATGTATGGCTAAGCACAATCAATAAGAGTGCATCTAAATTCCAAAATCAATCTCCATAATAGTCTATGTGTTTCCTACTGCCAAAGGGGCCCTTTAGAGTAGTGAAAGAAGATCTTCACCCTGAAACCCACAGCGTCCTTTTCATCAGGAAGTAGCTAAGAGAATACGCCATCCCCTTTTCCTTATGAATCAGGGTGAAGTCTCTCTCAGGGAGGAGTGATAGGGAATGGCAAAGGACACACTGACAAAGGAGATCAATCAGAACTGGTTTTGACAAGCACTATGGCAATGGGACAATTAAAACAGACTTTCAAGGGATAGTCAACCTGAATCCTTCTGATCATATGGAGATTTTTGAAAGTATTTCTTTGAGTTTATTATGTTTAATTTGTTTTATTTGTGTATAAAGGATGGTCATCTAGATGATAACATAATTGTGATAAAAATGAAAGTGGGGAAATATGGGATGCCAATACTAAATATTTGTAATAAACTGAATGCTATTTTTAAAAAAAGCAAACAAAAAAACCACATCTTATGAGTAGTTCTGACTCGACAGCAATGAGAAAAGTGAAACGTAACGTCAAGTTACATATTTCATAATTTGGACATTTTAGAACTTTATGACATTGTAAACAATGAAGACCTAAATAAAAACATCCTTCACTCAGTAAATCATACCTCAAAGTCCACATCTCCAAAACAGCCACATGTTGTACAAGGACCGACAATTTTTAGAACATCTTCTTTGTTTGCATTTTGAATCGCAAATTTGGGCAGGAAGGGGTCCCACTTCTGTGCAACGTAAGCAACCACCGTACCAGGAGGAGCTTCAATTTCTAGCTGAAAGAAGTTACAATAAAATAAGATTTCTAAGATCTTATGCTTTCATTTTACCCTATTGTAAATGAACCTCTAAACAACACATCCACATGCCCTTGTGATATAGATATGACATTATGTACTATGATAATATTATAGTAATATTATAATGTAATATTATAATAGTATGATACTATATATTTTATATGTAATTGTGCACATAATTCTAAATATCTTTACTATATAGATATGTTCTAGGGAAAAATGAAACATCTTTCACTTCAAAATTCAAACATCTTTTGTAGAGACCCTTTTATTAGGCTTTAATTTAGACAAAGACAATCATTCTGGAACATCAGTATGGTGCTGGAGGAGTTCAGGAAACCACAATGTGGCTTTAATTTATTTGACAGAGGGGATAAAAAGGAAATCATTGCAAGATTATGACAGATGATATGTCCAATGTATTGTAGTTGCAGAGGTAACTACAGAACTGGGCAAATGACCATGATTATGCTACATGCCTTTAAAGAGATTGATAATATTTGTTCTGGGGCTACAATCTCTAAGGAAGGAAAACCAGTAATACATTCCTGTACATGTGTATGTGTGGGTGTGTTTGTGTATATAGATATTGACAGAGCGAGAGGAAGAGTAGCACACCACGGTGAGAAGCATGTGACCTCCAAACTCCTAAGAGGCCCCACCCAGTATTGTCCCTCCGTTTTAGATGGAGGAGGGGCCAGATGCAATCACCTTTTCTTCACTTCAGAAGGAATATCTCAACATACTCCATACCACTGGATCCTTCAAAAGATCACTTTTGTCAAGCCTAGGTTTTATATTTTCATTAATGATTACATTAGTCATTACACACTGCTATGCTATCAGGTGAATTTCATTGAGTGGGATCCAACTCACAGCGGAATCTGAACCCTGTCCTGTTCTGTGCCATCCTTATCATCTCTAATGCACTTGAACCCATTACTGTGGTCACCGTGTCAATCTATCTCATTCAGAGTCTTCCTCTCTTCCGCTGACTCTCTGTCTTTCCAAGAATGATGTCCCTTTCCAAGCATTAGCCTCACCAGGAAACTTGTCCAAATCTAGAGAGAGGAGGCATCACCATCCTTGTCTCCAGGAAGCACTCTGTTTGCAATTTATTTGTAAGGAAGAAAGTCAGCCATCAAAATGCTCAGGCACCATCTACCTCAATAAAGTATATAGACATTGCAATTAAGCATTACATAGTTAATACAGAGATTCAGGAGGATATGTCTCATTACATGAAGCATAGGCTGTCCTCACCAATCAGCATAATAGAAACCACCATAGTTCATGATTAGAAAGGGGAAAAAGTTACCAGTGAATCAACAGCTCTGCAAGCTGTTCTGATCCTTACAGAGTGACATGCTAATTCAGACAACTGAAAGGTTAATTGCTTCACAGCTCTCAGTGAATGCCATTTAAAGAAATAAAAGCTCATCTTTCAATGTGGAAAAGAGAAGCCGAAAGCCAGAGCCAACGTCTCACCTCTTGTAAGTAGCAAGGGCACCAGCAGCTGTTACACCTCAAGGGTCTTTTTACTGTGATCACCTCTCGACCTGAGGTGTCTGTGATCCTCATGGTGCAAGATCGCAGCGTGGAACAGAAAGTTCGATTGAAGCAGACGCTTTCCTCTACTGCGAAGTAGATTCTTTGTCCCAAGCTGTTTTTAATCTCATATTTGTTGGAGGTCTCGGTGCCAAGTATCACTAATGGAGCAGGATATTTTTGTCAAAATGTTGCTATTACAATGGGAACTTTTAAATAAGAAATGAGATGTTATTAAGAGAAAATAAGCAGGGCGATTGATTAAATATTAAACATATTGTACCTTCTTCACACTCATATGTAGTTTCCCCCCCTATAAATGTGGAAGATGTAGTCATAGACGCCAAAGTAAACTCTGCGAACATGTTTATGCAGCTAATATAATCAATTCCAGATTTGTAAGCCTTTTGGAAACATGTCGTACCCACCCCCCTTTTTTAAGAGTAGTACTATAAAGAAGAATCAATTACTCAGATAACAGTTCTGTCATTGTCATGAAAGTTACTGGAGAAACTCAAAATGACAGTAATGACTAAAATTTCTATCTGGTAACATGTATTTAGCTGTGTGCTATTTTGCGGATAGATTTTAACATATTTTAGGAGTATATGTATTTTTCTTGTGAGTCACTGAGTCAGAACTGGCTCGTAGCTGACTGGTTAGTGGGTTTTCAGGGGCTGTAAATCAGCCGGGAGGAGATTTTTCATCTTCCTCCCATGGAGCAGCTCGTAGATTTGAACTGCTTGACTATGGGTTGACAGTGCAAACAGCACTAAGCCACCAGAGATGCTCATTTTAGGAGTAGTACAGAATATAACACGTGCTGGGTAGAGTAGAGTGGAGGGACAGCGCAAGAGGGGAAGACTCTCTATGAGGTGGATTGATTCAGTGACTGGGATAGTGGGGATGGGTGTGTCAGAGGCAGTGAGATTGGCACAGGATAGAGCACGGTTTAGGGCTGTTGTACATAGGGTCGCTATGAGTCACAAACGACTCGACTGCACATAACAACAACAACAACAACAACAACAACAACAGAATATAAAAAGACTTCTGGGGGCAATGAGATTTTTGGATTCTCGATTTCTATTTCTGAGAATATTAAGAAAATATAAACTATTTGTATCCTCTGTAATGATCAAATAATACCTTCAAGTTTCTAAGATTAGAAATGACACTAAAATTTTAATGGTAATATTACTAGATATTAGGAGAGTTTTAGACTTATCTAAAACAAACTAAAATGTTTCCTTTCACCGTGTATTTTAAAAGGTAGATTTGCTTCAAACTCTTTTTGAACTAATTTTGTACCACACATTCATTTTTTATGTATAAACTATTTAACTATAAATAGACTTCTGAGTATCAAAATAGAATTTTCAACAGTTTAATAAATACAGAATAAAATGTACTTACTTCCAAGAAGTTCCACCTGCTGGTGTATAATTATCAGGTCTAGCTGTTGAAGGACAACATAAAGGAAATAAAATGAATTACATTAGAACATTTGAGAACACTTAGAAATATTTCTGCTAACTTTTTAAAAATAGCATTTTTAATATTGGGTAATTTATATGTTTTATGTTGGCAAAATGGTCAACAGCTAAAATTGTAGAATGTATTAAAATTTTAAAAATGTTTTTTATTAAAGAAGTATTTATGAGGCCATGGGAAATTACAAAGCAGAATGGGCAAGAATAATGAAAGGATAGGATTAATCTTGAAGTGGATAATAATGGGGAAAAGAAGACGATGGAAAACAAGCATTCAGAAGATTTTTAAACAATCACTAAATCTCAACTTATGAGATTCAATAAAACTAAATTTACCTTTTTAAAGAAATTTTTTAAAAAATCTCACAGTAGTGATATGGATGCCTCACTTTCTTATAAAGCCTTAACTTAGTCTACTTTCACTCTGTTCAATGTCTTAGAGTAGATTATCCAAGGAAGGAAAACCAGTGGTACGTACATATACACATGTGTGTTGTTTCTGTCGACAGAGGAAGAGAAAGAGCAGCACACAGGATGAGAAACATGTGTCCTCCGAAAACAAATGAGGTCCACCCCAAGAGCTGATGCAATAATTTTTTCTTAATTGAAGAAGAAATGGAGTCAGAAAATGAAAAGGGCCAAACTCTCTCAACATTTCTTAAGTTGAAGGAATTGAAAAACAAATTCAAGCCATGAGGGACAATACTTAGGGATGCTTTGGGGAGAATATTAAATGATCCAGGGTTCCAGGAGTTGATGGTATAGCAATTGATGTATTTCAACAAACAGATGCTGCCTGGATGTGCTCACTAAGTTGTGCCAAGAAATCTGGAAGACAACCACCTGGCCAACTGACTGGAAGAGATCGATATTTGTTCCCATTCAAAAGAAGGGTGACCCGACAGAGTGAGGAAATTAACAAACAAAAACAAACAGCAAGATTCTGTTGAAAATTATCCAAAAATGGCTGGAACAACACATCCACAGAGAACTGCCAGTTGTGTAGGCTGGGTTTAGAAGAGGCTATGGTACTAGGGATATTATAGCTAATGTTAGATGGATCTTGGCAGAAAGCAGAGAGTACCAGAGGAATGTCTATCTGTGTTTCATTGACTATACAAAGGATTTTCACTGTGTGGATTACAATACACTGTGGTTGACTCTGAGAAGAATGGGAATCCCAGAACATTTGATTGTGTTTATGTGAAACCTACATTTGAATCAAGAGGCAGTCGTCAGAACAGAGCAAGGAGACACTGCATGAAATTGGGAAGGGTGTCTGCCAGGGATGTATTCTATCTCCATACCTTTTCAATCTGTATACAGAACAGATCATCTGGGATGCTGGGCTGTATGAAGAGGAATGTGGCATCAGGATTGTAGGAAGATTCATCAACAACCTGGATTATGCAGATGACACAACCCTGCTTGCTGAAATCGAAGAGGAACTGAAGCACTTGCTGCAGAAGGTCAAACACTGTTGTCTTATATATGGTTTGAAGCTCAACATTAAGAAAACAAAGGTTCTCTCTCACCACTGGGCCAATTGGCAGCATCATGATAGATGGTGAAGAGATTGAGATTGTTAACAGTTTTGGTTTGCTTGGTTCCACAATCAACACTCTTGGTATCAGCAGCCAGGAAATAAAAAGACAAATTGCATTGGGAAAGGCAGCTGTCAAGGACTTCTCCAGAGTACTGAAGAGCAATAATGACAGGCTGGAGACTAAGGCACACATGATCCAGGCCATCGTTTTCACATTTGCGTGCTGTGCGTCAGAGAGCTGGTCAGTGACTAGGGATGACAGAAAGAGAATTGATGTCTTTGAGCTGAGGTGCTGAAGAAGAGTGTTGAATATACCATGGACTGCTAAAAAAACAAACAGTTTCATCCTAGAGAGGGTGAAATGGGGCTGTTCCCTGTAGGCAAGGATTCTGAAGCTTCATCTGACATACTTTGGACATGTTGCAAGGAGGGACCGGTCCTTGGAGAGGGATATCATGTTTGGGAGGGTGGAGGGACAGTGCAAGAGAGGAAGACTCTTGATGAGTTGGATCAATTCAGTGGTTGGGGTAATGGGCATAGGTGTATTGGAGACAGTGAGGTTGGCACAGGATAGAGCAGGGTTTAGGGCTCTTGTACATAGGGTCACTATGACACATAACAACAACAAGAAGGAATATTTCAACACACTCCATATCACTAAATTCCTATACATTTCATTGATGTAGAAGGTGCCTGAACATGCAGCTTCAGAGTTCAGGGAATTCTAAGATTAGCAGAAAAGATCACACATTGCTAGTTCAGAGCCTGTGGAGGAAGCAGCAAGCAAATCCAAAGATCCAGATGTTAAATTATGATGAGCCAGATACAGGGTCCAGAACCAGCAAGTGAACTTTTCCAGAATATCTGCATGTGTATATTGGATGAAAATCACATAAATAATTGGTTGATCACTTCCAATCAGATCATCAAGAATGATTGTATAATCAAACAACGGCCAAAGAGCATTATTACATAACTCCTAAACCCTTGAGAACCATGGCCCCGCCAAGTTAATACAGAGACTTAATCATGACAGTTATCATGAGATTAATGATAAAATGTATTTCTTTAATATGAACAAGATAGTTTTTTAAATTTCTTTTGCAATTTTTTGGTTTAAAAAGCACAAATTCTAGTTTAAGGGGGCAAACTCCCACAAAACCAAACAGTGGCTTTCTACTGAATATACAGGTGAGTAAGGAGTTGCACTGCTAATCCTAAAGTGGGTGGTTCTAATACACCAGTTGCTCTGGAGGAGAAAACTGGGCAATCTTTTCATGCAATTTATAGCTGTTGAAAACGTGCAAGTGTTTCCAACCATAATAACAGCCCATAGCAACAGCAGTTGAATATAAATTATAATTGAATTTGTTGTATACAATTTTAATTAAATTACATTAATAATTTCTGTAGTTATGATTATGACATTAAAAGTATAAACAATGTAAATTGCATAATATTGTTGTTGTTGTGTACCATAGAGTCGGAACCAACTCACAGCTGACTCTCTAGTGGGTTTTCAGAGGCAGTTAATTGCACAGGAGAAGATTGACTGACCATCCTTCTCTCAAGGAGCTGTTGGTGGCCTGAACCATGTGCCTTTGGGATTGCAGAGCAGATTCTTTGTCACTAGACTATCAGTGCTCCCTAAAATAATTGCATAATTGGAATAATTAAAAAATATGTTAAAATTCATATTTTTGGTGCATATTCAGTACTTGAAAATTCACTGGCCAAAGTTGAACTCAAAGTCTCATGCTGATTATTGTGTATTTTAATGCATTACTTTTCTATTTCACCATATAATTTTCTTAATTTTACATTAGTAAACACACTGGCAACTCATAAATTTAGATAATAATTACTAATACTTAGTGGTGGCAAATTAATAAATGTTTCAGTTATATTACTTCTTTGAGATGAAATAACTAACATAATTTTCTCTATTCAAATTTCATTATTGAAAGAAGTGTGCACATAGCATTTTATGATTGTTGTTGTAAACTGTAGAGTTTGAAACGACCTAAGCTGACTCTCCAGCCGTTTTTCAGAGGCAGTTAATCACACAGGAGAAAACTGCCCATTCTTCTCTCTCAGAATACCTGACGGTCTCGAATCATATGCCTTCAGGATTGCAGTGCAGCTTCTTGCCACTGTTTCCTGAAATAGTCTAAAACAGCTTTTAAAAATTAAGGTGAACATGGTTTTGTCCTCTTTCTTCAACAAGAAGGAATCTTGTATACTAAAATGCTATTTGTACCTCAGTTCTAATTTCCTTGCGGTATAATCCTAGCAATGAAATAACTGGGTCACAAGGAGTTTCTATGTCCAGCTTTTTCAGGAAATGCCAAACTGCCTTCCAGATTGGTTGGTCCATTTTACAATCCCACCAATAATCGTTGCCAACATTTCTTGCTTGTTGTCTTCTTAAGCTTTGCCACTGCTACTGGGGTTAGATGGTATCTCCTTGTGGTTTTGATTTGCAGCTTTCTTATTGCCAATGATTTTGAGGATTTCTTCATGTGTCCAATGACCATCTGAATGTCCTCCTCTATGAAAAGTTTTTCCATGTTTTTTTGCCCATTTTGTATTTGGGTTACCAGTCTTTTTCTTGTGAAGGCCTTGTAATATTCTGTAAACTTTTGTTGTGAGACTCTTATCTGAGATTTATGCACAAATGTTCATAGTAGTAGTATTCACAACTGCAAGACCATGGAAACAATGCAAATATGCAACCACAATCTAATGGAATGAGAAATTGTGGTATATTCACACAATGGAATACTACAAAGCATTCAGGAGTAATGATTTAAAAAACACAACAAAAACAAAACAAAAACAACAAACTACATAACTTGAGAGAGACTGGAGAGCTACTAACTCATCTCATGAGGGCAAATACTGAATAAGACTATTATTGTAAAAATAGAAGGATGGCTAGTTCAAACATGTATAGGAGTTCAAGGGGAGAAGGTGGGAGCCCAGGGGTAAAGGTGTGCAGGGAGGAAATAACAAGATCGCCCAATTTGGTGGGTTGAAGGGAGGGTAAAGTAAATGGGAAAGATTTGGCAAGGACCTGAAAGGTTGGGATAATGGAAAACAAATGCCTTTTGTTCTCTTCTTATAAGAGAAATGTGGATGTGTGGGAAGAGAACAGGTCAGACTCATAAAAACTTAACAGAAGTTACTGAGGGATAGAACTATGGGGTTATGACTCAGTTGTGCTTTTAGAAACTTTGAATATGGATAATGGTCCAAGTTGGATATGTTTTTGTTGTTGTGTACTATCAAGCCAGAAACAATCCATAGCTGACCCTCCAGGATGTTTTCAGAGGGAGTAAATCACGTGAGATTACACCCTTCTCCTGTGGAGAATCTGGTGGATTGCATCAACAGCACAATTCCTTACCACTAAGCCAC